ATAGGCAATATACAACTGTTTTTGCTATAATAATAAACAGCGGCTTATCACCATGATGTGTTTTTGGAAAACAGAAAAGTATTATAAGCAGCAATTAAATTTAATGTCCAAGAAAGTACCCCGCAAAGGTCTGCACATAACACTTTATAAGAACATCACTGCATATCTTTACCAAAGCTGTTAATACAAGCAGTTTGTATTCACCCCTTAAGGGGGAGTATCCACATACATTACTGAGAACTGTGTACAGTCCTAGCTCTTTTAGACAAACATACTCAGATGTAAAAGAAATGTAACTCTAATGCTGAAGATAAAGAAAATTATGCAACTCACCACACAGGTATTTGAAAAAGACAACGCAATTAATTTCTCATTGGATTTCTTTTTAACACTTAATTTTTAGCAAAATCAACCTTCCCTTGTATCAAGCCCAGAATAAAGCATATACTTTTTTAAGGGCCTGAAAAGTCAGAAATAAAGTTAGTTACTATATAAATTATAGCTACAAGGCAAATAGAAGCCACACAGTATTTGTTCTAGGCAACGATAACAGTCCCAGAGATCTGACTTATGAGGTACCTTATCTTCCCCCAAAGGATAAAGGCACCAGTAAATCACTAAAATTTAATGATATTAGAAAACCAGAACACTTTATTCAACATGGTTAAGCCACCTACTCCAAGTCCCAACTTGCTTCAAACTGCTTTAACCCAAGATTTTTGGACAGCATAACTTTTTAAAACACCAATTAAGATTTTTTCATATTATTTTTTAAATTTAAAACAATTGAACATATTGATGGATAAAATCTGTGTACAGTCCCAGATCAATTAGAATTTTGCTATATGCTTGTGTACAACAAAGCTGCAAATAATTTAGTGAATTTCCACATTACACTAACCACTATTTATTGTACAAGCCAAATGGATAACTGTATACATAACATGTGTAGGGCATCAAATAGAAAGCCAATTTGTGAGTTAATTTAATAACTGAACATCTAGAGTAAACAATGACATTAATAAAAATGTATGCTTGAAGACACATCAGGCTATTCATTCAGTAGCTAGCTCCTATCTTCAACCATGACTATCACCTATTAGAAATTATTAATCTACTGGGTCAAATAAGCTTTTAAATATCACCTAGTTTTGACTTTAAGACCTTAGTGCTATGTAAAATTTTGATTTAGCAAATGTTGAAATATAAAGCAGCTCAAGTAAAGTCATAATACTTTGGTTGAAATCTAAATAGTTAAAAACCATGAACATTTTAGCCATTTCATACATACTCACTGAAGCATGTGAAGAATTCAATTCTTTATTTGCAATATTCATAACTATTCTATATTTCTATTCAGGAAGTCAGTTTCTCTCTAGAACATTGTTAATAGAACAACAAACGTTAATTCTACTGTGTGAAAGGGCTACAAATACATCAAGCAGACTACAGAAAGTTTGATTTACAATTGGCCTAAGTTACTGGCTCATTTATTGTTCACCGAGCACAAAATTTAAAAATTGAATACTTAAACTGATCAAGAATTTTACTTTCTTGTATTTTAATGTGTCATTTCAGCCAATGCATTTTATTGGCATGTTAGTTTAATCCTTGCCATCTAAAAATCTAATGGTCTACAAGTCTGAGAGCCAATTTGTTCTCTTTTAGTAAAACTTACACAAAGGTCAACTAGTCTGCCAGCAGATGGCACTCTATTTAATACTTGGCTTCTTTAATAAGAACAATTAAGATAGTATCCAGTTGAAATGACTTCACTATGCAAACAAAGTACTTATTAGAAGGGAAAGCATTCTCCCCTGTAAAAATGGATTGTTACAGACAAGCCAATAAATAACACAATGTGAAACTGAAAAATCTGAAATTTTGAACATGTATATAAAAAAGCACATGCTTTAAATGTGTTAGAACATTTTTTACGGATAACTCCCTATACAAAAGAACAGACCAACTGTATGTGCAAGGCAACTGCCCAATTGCAAAACTGTGGATGTAGAATAAGGTATTTTAACCAACTTCATCCACCAAGACATTTCAAAAACTGGCACAAAATCTTTAGTAGTAAGAAAACCAATGTAGTGGGGCAGCAAAAGAGTTGAGCACTTTACTTGAAATAAAGCGATTTTTTTTTCCTAACACATGTAGCTACTCGAGAAGAAATACTTTCTCTGACTTAACAAACTTTTGTTTGAAATGTACGGAATGAAACCTAGGAAAAAAGACATGTAAAGGTCAATGAACACAATGATTTATTTAAAAAATAAAAATGTAAAAACGATTTAACCCCTTTTACAGCCATGGAATCAGAGTAATTTTGTAGAAAAAAATTGTGTAGATATTCCAAGTCCTTACAAAGTTAATTCCCCTTTCCCTCCCAAGTTTTACTTCAGAATCATGACTTTCCCTCCCAACCCCAAATAAACCAAAATTAAAACAATATCTTGTTCCTAGTATAAAAAACGACTAATGTCCAAGCAATAAAAAAATAGAGTCCATCAATGACTAACACAAAATCGTTGTGTGAAAGACCCAGTACATCTTCAGAAAGTGACACAGGCAGCAGAGCGACCCCATCAGGAATATTCGAGATCTGCTTCGCATCACTGGAACCTTTTGTATGAAGGTGCCTTTAGGCGAAGAGTAGGGGAAGTATTGAAAACCTGGCCTGGCCCGGTACAAACGGAGAGCATACTCCATGCAGACAAAACTGACATCCCCAGAAGGATCGGTGGGAATTCCCGCTTAGAAAGAGCCGCCTCCATAACCTCCCCCGCCATAACCGCCTCTGTATGGTCCACTGTTACTGCGGGGCCCCCAGCTGCCGCCCCCGCCTCCACCCGCACCGCCGCTCTTCATAGGGCCGTAGGAGGATTGGTGCTGGC